TATTTCCCCTTTGCCTGATCTCAAACCCTCCCTTAGTTTTATTCCTGAATATGAGACCTTCTGATCTGGGAAAGGAAAGGGGCTGAGAAATCACTGAGGAGCAGACAGTTTGGTAGAAGCTTGACTTTGTAAATCTATTGCACCAGCCTCATCCACCCTTCTGTTTCCCTGCTTTCACCACCCACTGGCCCTTCTGATCCTTTGCCCAGAGTGCCTTCTCCACATCCTTCCCCAATTTCAGTTTGGTTGAGTTCCTGCCTGAAGCCTCTGGCCACTCATTTTCTATCACTGTGGTCTCATCATAGGTGTGGGACTAATGGAAGAGCCACTCCTTGCATTAGTTCTGGGAGCTCAAAGTTTGGAAATTCTGTCTGGAGTGAGATGCTGCAAGCCCCAAACTTAGTTCTGCCAGCAGCAGGCTCTGGCCTCTGAGCTTTCCTGAGACTGGGAAACTAAGAAAGGGTTGCCATGCTGGCTCGGAGTGCTAAGTATTTCCTCCTATTTCTCCACTTTTGATCTCTGTGATTAACTCTGTGGAGGTGTGGAGGTGTGCCTGCCTTGTACATGCTTCTTGGGGTCAAACTTCAGACTGTTAGGGATGACAATCAGCATCAGTTACCCTAGGCAGCAAGGAGACCCAAATACTTGCACAAATCATAGGTTTATGCATCTAGGTTTCCCTTCTTCTCTCCTCCCTCCTTTCTCTTTTTCTTTCTAACAAACAAACCACATTAACTACCATCAGATACTCATTGCTACTTAGCAAAAATCACATCTCTTGTTCAAACAAAGAAAAAATAGCTTTTTTGGTGGTACGTTTGGATCAGTGACTTGTGACCAAAGGAAGTGGGTGGGTGAGAGGATTAGACAGTAAACGCTCTATCAGCGACAGTTATCTACTTTCTACCACTGCTTGCCTCTGATCCTTTTGGCCCCAGCCCCAGCCCCAGCCTCTAAGGCCGTGACAGTCCTACTCCCATGCTAGATATGCGCTGAAGGTTGGCGAGGAGCTATCACTGCTTTGAAACCAGCGATGACCACAGTGTGGGAAACGTGTAGGGCCAAGTCAGAACTTGAATGTTCTCTCTTACAATCTCTGCAAGGTCTGCTGGTTAGTTTGCCCACCATCCTAAAGCATGGCATGTCACTCCATTATTATTATGTAGGTAAGGATTGGTCATGATGTGATAGGCTGTGATCTATATTACATCCTATATTGGTAGTTATCACAGAAGTGCCCTCCCCCATGATTACAAACTAATGGATTTCCTTTGACAAAATCAGGAAACCCTTAGTAAGGGCACTCAGGTTACTTTACTTGATATTTAAAGCACTGAGCCTAATTGGCCTCTAAATTCATCAGTGAGAGTGAATTATTAAATTTTTATAATTTTAATTTTTAAGCATTTTTGGGTCCCAGGCCATATTTATTGTTTAAATTATGTTTTTGTGCTATGTTCTATAACAACTAAGCCCCAATATGAAGGATAACAACCAACCTGCTGAATTAATTTTAAAGACTTTTCTTGATATATCACTTTTCATAGTGAAGGAAGGGTTGGCTGAAATGAGAGCTTTCTAAGAAAAAGTGAGTGCTTGCAGTATTTAGAATGTCTTGATTCCTGTATTTTATCTTTTTATTTAGTTTTAATCTTGCAACTAAAAATTATAACATAACCAAGCACAAAAATTCTATATGTTTTGAGCAACTTCTGCCTGGAAGTTTATTATACAGCTACTTCGAATGACTTTGATCAGCTGAAATACAGTCATAAACCAGGAAAGGAAGTCAACAGTTAAGACTTCTGATTCACCAGAGGAACTAAATTCAATTGAGGAACTAAAATCCATGCTTTTATTAAGTGGCAGAAAAACCTAAGACCTTAACTCTGAATGTATTTACTTAATTTCGCATATGATTATAAAGCTTAATTATCTGTTTCTCAGGTTATAAACTGTTTATAAAGTGCCATTTAGGAATTTGAGGGCAGCCAAAGGCAGTCACAGCAACATTGAAAGGATATCTAGTCTGATAAAAGGATGGGAAAGAGAAAAATGACTTGCAGTAAAATGCATTAGTGTGTATGGAGAAAAATTCAGATGATGGACTATTTATTCTGCCTTAAAGTTCACAGAAGTACATAATATATTTTATGAGGGTTTTTTTTAAAAAAATTCAATATTGTTTAAATACAATTAGTTTTACAACTTAAGGCACTTTACTTCATATGTTGTCATCTGTAGAGCATTGCACTTGAGTTGTTCCATATGAATGATATCAGTGTACTTACTAATCTATATACATAAAAGCCTAAGTGACCGGATGGTAGCTATTATGTGCACTGACCAGGGGGCAGTGTGCTCCCACAGCGAGAGTGCTGCTCAGCTGACAGACAGGTGCCCGACACTGGGCTGACAGCTGGCAAGTGCAGCTGCAACTGCGCGAGCCTCTCCTGTGGACACTCCCCCTAAGTGCCTGGCAGGAGCAGAGCCCAGCCTGGACTAGGGCCCCTCCCCAGCCTGGGGCACTACTTCATGCTGTGCTGGATCAATGCAGACAGTGGGCTGGAGCCCTATGAGCTGGAGGGTAAGGCAGGGCTGCGATGGTGCGGAGGTCCACTGATCCCCGCAGGCCAGGCCATGGGACCCCCTCTAGTACACTAATAAGTGGACAGGGAATAGTTAACACAGCAGTTTTCAAACTCTTCCAGCCCAGATCCATAACTCACAATTTCTGAATAGCAAGCCTGATATTGGACACAGGCAAGGAAGAGATGTTCGGGTTTCAGTGGATGCCAGTGGGTTCTGAGCCTGCTCAGTGCTCTGCCCACCATCCTCAGTGACTCCGTAGAAGCCTCACCAAGTCCCTGGAGCTCCAGAGAACGTCATGCCGAGCACGAGGTCAGGCACAGAGCTAGAGCAGGGCGGGAGTGATTGGTAAGGAAGGAGGCTTTTCAGGCATCCTTAAATCACAGCCCATCACTGGTGGCCTACTGTGCTGTCCGCAGTGTAATCTACCAGGGGTTTTGTGGCTGATGAGAAGACTGGAATCAATTCTAGTTTGCTTAGCATCACTGTCACTCTGATTAGCAATGTGACTCCAGTACCCCATGCATTTGCTGCAGGTGGTGCTGCGGCAGCAGTCTGCACCAGGAGAGCCAGAGGAAGCAGGAGAGCAACAGTCATTTTCTTATGGGCACTCCACTCATGAAAATTTGCAAACTAGAATTTTATTATTGTTGCCGTGAATGATGCTGCTACTGCTGTTACAACTGCTGCTGCTGCTAGTACTGCTATTATTACTAACACTATTACTATTCCTACTGCTTACTCTTGTTCTCCTTCCCCCTCCCCCCTTTCTTTTTAGCGGTAGAGCCGAGACACCTTCCAGTAGTGTAGCTAGATGCTTGAGTGTTTCTTGTCTGTCGTTATTAGCAAAATCAACTGATGGTCAAACTGATTTAACATTGACGACTACCTACCTTCTGTTCTCGGGGAGGAGAGGGCCAGGAGAAATTACTGCACCACAAGCAGGTTGACTAAACCTCGGTCAGCGGGGTGCAGACTGTGGGCTGGGGGTTTAGTTGCTGCAGTCCGGCAGTGCTCCGGGTCCTTGGTTGGTGGCTGGTGACACTGTGGATGGCCTGTGTTCCATGAGAAGTGCCACCAGAGAGGCAGGAGGCTACAGCTTCTTTTCTGAGTCTGCCCCCTTCCAAGATGGTTGTTTCGTCCTCTCCTTGGCAGAGCTATCTGTTCCTTCTCTCTCCCTGCCACAGGTGGCGCCAAAATAATACCTCAACCAGCCGGGGAAGCCACACATCAGAAGTGGGGAGGTGGTGGCAACCTACACTAGCACCGCCCTTAAGGGTGGGGAGCAGGGCCTTTCTCACTGGGAAGCATTGATAGACTATTTCACAGACGGGCTTTGTTACAATAAGTTCCGTTCGGTCCCCAAACCCCAGATTCATTTATGCAGAGCCGCCTTCTCATCTGTGCTCTGGAAAGAGACCTGAGCATTCCTAGCTTAGACTTTACACGGCACTGGCAGGAGTAAATCCGGATTCCACCCATTTCTCTCTCTCTCTGCTACCCTTTTTTTATTGTTAGAGAAAAAATATACCTCAACAAGTATTTTTATTGCGAATTTAAGCTGGTATTTATTGACTGTCAGGTCAAATTGTGTAATGCTTATAAGCAGGAGCTCTGGAGTCACACTACCTGGCTCTGTGGACCCTAACTGTGTAACCCTGGGCATATCACTTATGGTGTCTCAGTGTTCTCATCTGTAAAATGGGAGTGAGAACAGTACCTAGTCCTTAGGGTTGTGAGGATTAAATGAGTTACTGTTTGTGAAGTGCTTACAAGAGCCCATGGCAGATAGTAAGTATTAAATCCATGTAAGCTGCTGTTACTGTTATTATAACTATTATTATTATTATTATTGGGTGTAAAAGTTAGACTTATCTCTTTGCTTTCCTGAACATTTGGGCAGAAACCCGAGTAGCTTAGTATAAATTCGTGCTTGGAATAGAAGCCTAAATGGATTGACCTCTTGAAATGCAGACTCTTTGACAGTAGGGAAAGAATGCTTGGTTTGAAATTACATCTAACTTAAATGTTGGTTGGCCTTGCCCCTTAACTACTGGAGTAAACATGTAAGGAAATAAAAGAAGGATAATAATGTCTACATTTTTAGGTTATGAAATTTAGAATAAAGAGCTTGGTTTGTATTATATACTCAATATATAGTAGCTAGTATAATTATTATGTCTGGAAGGAAAATCTAGGCCATCCTAAGTCATGGGGATATGGAGCTACTTGGTGGGTCAAAGCATTGTTGGTGAAGTTAGCCATATTATTGAATGATTACAGTGAACATTTAAATTTCACCTTATATTGCTTAGTAATATAAACAGTTGCAATGTTTGCTTTATTTGCATATGCTCTCTTTAGAACAGAATGCTGACATTTCTTTTTGTATTTTGAATTGAATGTTGTAGAAATCTGCCCTCAGGAGGAAGTGTGCAGTCTGTAAAATCGTGGTCCACACCGCCTGCATCGAACAGCTAGAAAAGGTGAGACAGCGCCACCTGCTGTAAATTCTGATACCTTGCAAGTGTTGAGACTTCCGAGACCAGGTGTCAATTTCTTTCCAACTTCTTGAAAACAACCCCCTTTTAGGAAACTGGAAGTTCAACATTTTTACCAGATTAAAAATGGAAAGATAGTGCTTAAGGTTGATTCTCTCTGTTGTTTTCTGAAGCATAATTTGATATCATTTTATGTTGACTCTTGGGAGAAGGAATGATAAGGTGAGAGAAAAGCCTGGTAGGCATGATATTCTTCACAACAGCAAGCATTGTTAGTCGCCCATAGGACCTCCCACAAGATGTTTTCTCTTAAAGAAAAAAAAATAATTCCATAAACTCTTCAATGTTTACATTCGTCTGACCTCTGTGAGTTTATGTCTTCCTATAAAGTGCCGGCAAGGGAGAGAACCAAGCCAGAAAGCAATTCTGAGTTCCTTGGTTCAAGTGAGCAGTGTTCCTACTCACAGGTTCATATGTGGGAGGGGCTGGAAGTGGCATCCAGAATCAGTGGAGTCTGCATAGTCCATTTATCTGTCATCTGGGGGGAGAGAGAGGCCCCAATAGAGAGCTGTCTGCTGGTCTGCTGTCCTCTCCCCTCTCGTGCCTCCTTCTCCATTTCTGCGTGTGAGTCTCTGCTTTATCTATGTTCTTGAGCTGCCATGGGTAAATGTGTTGAATTATTTTAATCTGCTGTGACATTCATTGAGCTTTGAAGACACATTGCCAGTTGTTGCCAACTGATATTTTGTGAGAATGACTACTAAATATTTTATATCATGTCCCATCTCTTTTCCTCTTTCATTTTTATGCTCTTTTCGCCTGTAAATGACCAGGAGACCTCCGCATCTAATACTGAATACTTCAATAAATGATATTTTTTTGGTGTGTGTGTGTATCATCATTATCGTATTAAAAATTTACCAAGTTTGTATTTTCCTACTTTTAAAATCTGAAATGCAGATGGATGATTTCAGCTGCCTTATATTTTCCCCTGACTCTTTATTATCTCCATTTCTTTATTATCTTTATTGTTTAAAGATATGTTGATTTCATCAGTGAGAATGAAGAGACATGGATTGGAGGTATAGAATCACTTGGGATTTCTGTAGATTATCTAAGGTGATTATTTCAAAAGACTAAGAATAGTGTTAAACTTTGTTCTTCATTCTTTGAGGGGATTGTTTTGTAGTCTCAATATCTGTCACATGTTGGTTTATTCAGGTCACTCATTCCAATATGATGCCTATAACTAATATAATACACTTCTCTTTTTAAATGGCAGATTAATTTCAGATGTAAACCAACATTTCGAGAAGGGGGCTCCAGATCACCTAGAGAAGTGAGTATTTCAGAGCTCTATTTCAAATACCAGCTTTAATTTCCCATTGACTAACTGGACTTATAGATATTCACCAGGTATTAAAAATAAAGTGTATTGCCAGGCTGGTGTTGCTCAGTGGTGGGGCTCGACCCAGGAACCAAGAGGTCACGGTTTGATTCCCTGTCAGGGCACATGCCAAGGTTGTGGGCTCGATCCCCAGAAGGCAACATGCAGGAGGCAATTGATCAATGATGTTTCTGTCTTATCAATGTTTCTAGCTCCCTTTCCCTCTCCCTTCTTCTCTCTCTAAAAATCAATAAAAAATACTTAAAAAATTAAAACAAAAATTGTATCTCCCTTCATTTTACATCAGCTTTTTATTGATACATCAACAAATACAGTGAATAAAAATCCCCAGGTTTCTTCTCACAGAATGTGCAGAGAGCTAAAGTCTTACTGAATGCACCTGAGAGTAGGGGAGGGCACAGTGATAGAATTGAAAAGGTAAGAAAGCAATGGCATTTTATTGTCTTCAGGTTCATTTTAATTTGATTTTTCAATTTTGAATGGGTAGAAGCTCCTTGGGGGCAGTATAGCTACTGATAATTCCTATAAACAATGGAATCAGACTGCCTAGATTCAAAATCAGCCTTGATGCTGTGTGATTTTGGACATCTCATCTAATCTTTCAAAATGTCAGTGTTTTCATCTGTTAAATGAATAAGTAAGTAGATAGATGGATCAGTAGAGAGATAAATAGGGATATACAGAGATAGATAGATAGATAGATAGATAGATAGATAGATAGATAGATATATGATAGATAGATAGATAGATAGATAGATAGATAGATAGATAGATAGATAGGAAGACAGACGGATGGATAGATGTATGGGTAGATGATATAGATAGATAGATAGATAGATAGATAGATAGATAGATAGATAGATAGGAAGACAGACAGATGGATGGATAGATGTATGGGTAGATGATAGATATAGATAGATAGATAGATAGATAGATAGATAGATAGATAGATAGATGATAGATAGATAGATAGATAGATAGATAGATAGATAGATAGATAGTCAGACAGATGGGTGGATAGATGGATGGATAGATAGATGGCTAAATAGATAGGGAGATAGGTGAAAGATAGATAGATGGATAGATAGATAGAGAGAAAGGGAGGGAAGGAGGGAGGGAGGGAGGGAGGGATGGAGGGATGGAGGGACAGAGGGAGGAAGGAAGGAAGGAAGGAAGGACGGACTACATCCAGGGCTCAGTCCCTGACCTTTCAGTCTTGTAGTGGAGACAAACAGGTAAATAGGAAATTATAGAGAAGAGCAGTACTGCATGTTAGCAGAAAGCAGAAGTGAGGACAGGATGAGAGCGGCACTCAGATCTATTCAACTTTTAAAGGGTGTCCCAAAATTCACGCAAAAAGAAATTTTGATAAAAAACACAGGTTTATAATTAAAAATTATAAATTTTTTATTGATTCATAAAGTATACAGTATAGGGTTATGTATGGAATAGCATATCAGGTAAATGGCCTCCACACTTTGCTGGCACATACGTACTCTTTTGTTGAAAGTTTCCATGACCGTTTTGCATAAATGTGGCTGAATTTCGATGAGGCTCATTTTCATCTTGATGGCTTAGTTAATCGACAAAATTGTCGCATTTGGCGTTCAGAAAATCCATGAGTGATTGTTGAGAAACAAATGCATCCACAACATGTCACTGTTTGGTGCGGATTTTGGCTGGAGGCATCATCGGACCATTATTCTTAGAAAATGCGGCTGCTCAGGCAATAACAAAAGAGTGCGTATGTGTCAGCAAAGCCATGGAGGCTATTTACCTGATATGCTATTCCTTACATAACCTTATACTGTATACTTTATGAATCAATAAAAAATTTACAATTTTTAATTATCAACCTGTGTTTTCTATCAAAATTACTTCTTGCGTGAATTTTGGGACACCCTTTATTTAGAGGCGATGGGGCAGTGTATGTAGTTAGAGAAGACAAGAATGTTGGTGGAGGCAGTCAGCCTGCCTGTGTTATCCGGGATAGTGTAACTCCAGGCTATGGGTCATACATAGGGTGAGGAAAGTCTATGGAAAATGATGGATTGTGCCACCCACGTGCACTGTAGCATTGACCAGGATGTAACTTGATGACAACTCAAACAAAGGATAAATTTCATAGAATGAAAGGATAGGAGAAGGCATAGTTGTGTGTTTTTAAGGTAGAGTTTATGAATTAACTGGTTTATTCTGTCTTTATGTCTAGAATTCATAAACTTTACCTGAAAAACCAGGGATTCATATGTTTACCTTTAGCTCTCTGTTCTTTAATCTCTCTCTTTTTTTCTGCATAGATAATTGTTATTGTATGTGCAGTTTTCTAATGCATGTATTTTTTGTTTGTTTGTTTTTAGTTTTCACTAACTGTGTCCCTTCTCTTCTGCGAAGTCAGATATCCATGAGTGTTTTGGAAACCTTCTCTCATCTTAGCAAGGACTTGATGTTTATTCCTTTCCTACATTTTCACCCCTTCTTCCAGATTATTTTTATCTGCATAAACATGCTCTAATAAACCCCATTTCATTAAAACAAATGAAAATCTTCCTTAACCACCAACTGTATCCACAACTCTGATTCTCAGTTTTGTGTTCACGGCTAATATCCAGAAAGTGTGTTATATATAAACAGTATGTCCCCTCCTAGTCATTTTAACCTGTTCTGATCTGGTTTTCACTCTGTGCATTCACTGAAATTGTTCTTTGAATGTTGCCAACATCTCACCAATGCCAAACCCATTAGATATTTTTCTGTTCTTTTGTTATTCAATCCTTCAAATGTATTCAAAATGTTCAATGTTCCATTATTTTTGAAATGCTCTCCTGGCTTGACATCTTTCCTAACTGTCTATTTCACTGGGTTGTCCTTCCCACTCCCTTTCATTGCTCACTCCCCCTGATTGCTGCCTTTTCCTCTGGGGCTGGTCCTTGGCCATGTTTTCTCTCTGCCCACTCTTGTTGGAAGAACTCACCCAATCTCATGGCTTTAAATATCACTTCTGGGCTGACAATTCCTGGCTTTGCATGTCTACTCCACACTACATGTTCCATTTGACATGACCATTGAATGCAAGACAATTATGTCAGATACAATGCATGAAAAACTAAGCTCATTTCCATCACCTTAAAAATGATTTTTAAAAAATTGTTTTATGCCTCAGAAAATGAGATGGCTATTGATCCAGCTGTTCAATCGAGAAGACTGGTCATATTGATTTCTTTTCTTACTGACTTACCACATCTGTTTCACTTGCCAGCCTTATCAGTTTTCTTTATAAAATGTATTGCAAACCATCTCTTTACCCCCATTTCTGTTGCCAGTGCCTTAGCCTAAGGGACCATGATATCTCACTTTTGACCACTGCAGTCACTTCTCCATAAGTCCTTCATTTTCTCCTTCAATCTACCATGATTGAAGAGAGTGATTATTTAAAATGAAAATTGGATTATGTCATTTTCCAGCCTAAAATTCTCCAGTAGTTTCCCCACACCCACCCATCTCCCATAAGGACTTCCTTTCAGTTCTTGAGGTGCACGTCCAGCTAGCCTCCATCTTCAGATGTCTGTGCGTGGCATTGCTGTACTGGACATCTCTTTGCATGGCCAGCTGTTTCTTATAGGTAGGCCTCAGCTCAAACATCATCTCAGGGTCTTCCTTAATGACCACCTCTGCACAGGCCGCACCCTGTTCTTTATCAGAGCACCTTGTTCTGCCCTATTCAGAGCACGTTATGTGTCACAAGTATTTATATGTGTTACTCACTTGCTTGTCTGCTGTCGTCTTTCTGAAGTATAAGCTTTGAGAGGTCACTCATGGTCTGTGTCCCAAACTCATCATGCCAGGACACGGAGGATGTGATCAACCAATATCTGTTGACGGAATGCTTCCATAAAGGTGTCCATTTCTCCCCCAAATGTTCACAAACTCTTGGTCTAAGAGGACAATGGGAAGATGAAACTTATGAGAGACTATGACCCATTTGAGATTCTTAATTAAGAGAACTTAGGTAGTTTACTTAGTGTAAATAAAAGAACAGTCACTTTAGAATTTGAATGACATCTCTGCCTCTTTTGTACTCTGTGGTTAGAGCAGGGATCCAGGGCAGGGATTAATAGTCACTGTGCCCTTTGCTTTCAGAGTATATGACACAGAAGTTTTTTCATGAGTTGTGGTTGGACAGCTCTAAGTTGAAATTTTGTGTACCTCAGTTTTCTTAGACATAAGCTATATGTATTCGCTTATAATTTTAAGATCCTTCAAAGTGCTCTATGAATAATATTATGAATTGCATTGGCTATGTGAAAATAACTGAGCAATTGTGTTATGCATTTCTGCTTACAATACTGACTATAAATCCTGAGATACTGTGTCACTGCGATTTTAACACCCTTAAGTAATGGTCCTTTCTATACCCAATATTTAAAGACAGTATATGAATAATTCAGAGTTTATTGATGATGAACTATAAAAAGAGGTTATGGTGTCAGAAGCTTTTTTTTTTGTTGCTATATTCCTAACAGTGTATCAACACTCATATTTGCAGTGGAAGAATCCTGAGTCTAATTTCAGTTTATTAATTTAGGAGATATAGGTGTCAAAAAGGAGTAGTATAAAAAATTAAAGTTCTTGGAAAATACATATTAGAAAACAGCAGTGATTCTGTAGAATTCTTTTTCTAATTGATAAAGGCAATTGGAGATCCTTCATAATGGTAATTACATAATTGAATTGCCAAAGAAATGAGGTTGGAATTTCATTCAATTCAAAACATATTTATTGGATGTTTACTTTGTTCAAATTATGTTTAATTAGGCCCAGGGAGACCTCTGAATAGAAGGATGTTGACATCTCAAATTATAGAGCCATAGACAGGGGGAAGTTATTTAGTTTCTTCTTTAGTATACATAGTATGTTATACTATATATTTAGTATAATAACTGGTATTATCCCCTTCAGTACTTTTGCTTAAATTACTTTATCTTACTGTGTCTTTATTTTTTTTAGTTGCCTACCTATTTCCTAGGAAGGATGATATTAAAAATATTTAACAACATGCAGTTATATATGTTAATATTTAAATAATTTTAAAATGTTCCTCGCTTATCCCCTAAATAAACTAAACTACATGATATTATATATCAGATTACCAAACAATATACATTGTCACACAGATAAGTCAGTCTTATAATTTGCAAGTAATTATTGATTTGTGGAAATTGCTGGTTTAATCTTTTGATTAGAGCTGTCAGCAGCTAAATAATCCCCAAGAGTTAGCCATGATTCCACATGGGTAATTGTCAAATTCTTCCAGTGTTTTCCTCTTCAATGGATAGTCAGTAGGTGGTTTATAATCTCAACAAGTAGAGAATTTCTCTTACCATCAATGATATTGTTCATTCTCCCTTGTTTCTGCTAAACTAATAGCAGTTATAATAAATTTCTATAGCCCTTGTAATTCTGTCTGACATTTTAACATATTCAGTATTTCCACTGTTTAATATACTCAGTATTTCCAATATTTCCAAATGTCACTGAAGTCATTTCCTGGAGCTTGAACCTGATCTTCCGAGCAAAGGAGAGGCGCCGTGACCCTGTGTTTCAGGGCATAGGCTCTGGGTCAGCCTGCCTGGGACTGAGCCTTGCTCTGACCCTTACATTTTAAGTAACTACTCTGTGCTCTAGTTTCCTCGTCTGTCAGGTGAGGATCATATGATAATTCAGGTAAAACCCTCTGATAATGCGCCCTGCAATAATGTGAATTAGGATGTAGCACCCTTGTCTCCCCCGGCCTTTACCCTTAACAGGCAGTAAGCTAACGTTCTTTTCACTTAAGCAGGTGGAAGGCTGAGGGGCTCTGCCTCGCCTGGGGAGCAGAGGTGGCGAGTTTAGTACTTTCGTCCCCAGTAGTGTTTGCACTGAACTGATGCTGTGGACACTGATAACTAGACAGGTTCCTGGACTTGCTGCCGTTGTCCTGAAGGCCATGCGACCCAGAATTGCCTGCACTGATATTTAAGCTTGCACAGACAACCACATTGGGCACAGCCCAGACGTCTGAGTTTCCTGGGGGAATCCAAGGGCATGGCCCAGGCAACCGTGATTTGTTTTTGAAAGAGAGCCCATTGGGATTGAATCCTGGAGACCTGCTACACAATATGTTAACATTTTAGTTGCTTAATAATGAGGAAGTAGAAGTGGTCTGCGATGTGAGAGGGTGGGGTGGTGGGGTGCTAGGGCAGGTGAGGAGGAGCTGGGGGATGCTAGGGGCACTAAGTTACAGCCTACCCACCAACATAGACATATTTCAGTATTTCAACAGCTCATAGGATTTTACTGGCACATACCCACTCAACAACACCTCTGCTGTCTTCATGAAAATGAAAAGAATGATCACGTGCGAAATATTTTAAAAAGTACTTGGCACACAGTTCTCAACAAATGTTAGCTATTATTATTAGCTTCTTTCTGAGTACATATATATATATATATATATGAATTATGTTTGTGTTTTATTAAACTGCTGCTGTGGGAAAAGCAAGACCAAAATTAGACTAATTAGTGGGACCATTATGTTTCATTGTTTCTTATTATAGTTAAAAGACTATTACTCCCCCAGGATCTCTGTTGAGTTTTAATTTAAATGGATTTGGCATTATATAGAGAAATAGAAGTGGCATTTTGGAATTGATAATGTCAGTGCTCTTTAGGGGTATTTTTGTCACTCTGGATTTTATGCTTTAATACAACTCATTTTTCCTCAACACTGATCTATTTTCTGTGTTCCTCTGTACTTAGAACAGTGCTTGGCAGACAGTAGGTATTCAGTGTTTGCTGAATGACTGAGTCTACATTAAAAGGCCTTTTAAAGGGAAAGCATGGACTGTGGCCTGATAACCAACAGACATGTTAATCTCAGATAGAGTATATTTTTTCAGAAAAGGGCAGGAGAAAAGACATTCACAAGTATATTAGATGTATTGGCTCAAGGAGAGTCAATTATATAAGTTTTTAGGATTCACCTGCACCATGAATTAGGCCTGAAGACAACTTTGTTATGATGGATCCTCAGAGCAGTGGCAATGGATGCTCCTTGACCCCTCTGCCCCAGGAGCACTTATCTGTTTGGGAGGGAAGGGACTTTCCGGGTTTCCCACAACCCAAGACAAGAATAGAGCTTGAAAGCTGATCTAGTTCAGAGGTCCCAAGGACAGTTTAAATTCAAGGTCATTGCAAAAACTCACCACGTGCTCACATCTCTTGTCCTTCAGCTTTTCTCTTCCTTCACTTTCACTAGTAACAGATTCCCACCATTTGTGTCCTGAGTCAGGAGATCTATTTCTGTCTGAGAATTTAATTTTTTTAAGTGCTTTCTAGCTCAAATGTTTAGTATGGCGCCTGCTTGGCATATAAAGAAGCATTAAATACATATTTGTTAAAAAATATTGGACATGGTTGTTCCCGTTTCTCTCAGGGTATTTCTTTGGCCTGTCTCAGTTACCTCCCAGCCCAAAGTCCCGTGGCATGCTCACGATTGCACAGGGTTTTACTAGGAGGAGAGGAGAGTAACAGTGACCTGGCGTGGCCATTTGTCACTAGCAAGACGTGGAGGAGGACAGGATGCATGGCTGGGGAGCAGAGTTAGCTTAATTTTTCTGAATGGACTCATTTATTGTTATGCAGATCACACATACACCTACTTGTTTTTGTGTTAAGGTGGTCTTAGATGATGGTTTACAGAAATCTATATCCTTAAAACAAGAACCCTAATACTGGTTTTGCAAATTTAAATCGATTTCTTTTATTTTGTTTTTCTACAGAATTTTGTGCGTCATCACTGGGTGCACAGGCGTCGGCAGGAGGGAAAGTGTAAGCAGTGTGGTAAGGTAAGGGGCTGGGCACCCACGGCCATAGCCAGGAGGCTCCTCAGGCCTTTGCAAGCACCTGTGGTAGAGGAGTCCCTTCACCCGAATCCAGTGCTCAGTATGCCACCTCTCTCCAAAAGGCCTTATTTCTCCAAGTTCCCTTTCCTTAAAGAGGTATCTTAGTTGTTCTAGAACTCACTGCAAGAGTCAGAGGTCTTAATACAAGGAATTAGCAAATTTTAAGAGAGATGGATATACTTTTGTGGTGAATTTCATTGTTAATAGTTTCGAAAACACTTTCTATTTTGTTAAAACCCCCCTTCTGAAGACTGCTGACCCACAATACATCTTTGATCAGCAACAGAAAGTCAATGGTGTGTTAAATAACACTACTTTTGTTGATATAGTATTGCAGCTGAGCAGAAACATAGCATGAAGCAAGAAATGTATTGCTACCTTAGGATATTATCCAGTTACTGGATACCCTTCTCATATGTATTATTTATGTCTACTCTTTCTTTTAGTATGACTGGCATGCTATGAAACTCCATGAATTCTACATGCTACTGAACCCAACAGATTTGGGTTATGGAATTTTCTTTTTTTGCAATGTACAAAGACTCATTTTAGGAACGAAAGGCCTGAATGGGAAGGTTAAACTTGTGGTGAAACATGCTACAAAGATTATTTTTTTACTGAGTCCAGCTTACATTGGTAGTAAGCTGGACTCAGTAAAGGGACGTTTTGATTTGGTAGAGAGCAATATAATTTGGGAGAATATATTCCTCATCAATTAACAATTCCCAATTTGTTTATTTATCCATGTGACTCCTTTGGGTCAGGCACTGTGGTGAGCTGACCAGTATGGCATTTTGACAATAGAGGGATACAAGGAACTACTGGCTGCCTGAGGTAGGGGGGTTGAGAGTGAGTGAGACTTGGAAAAGGTTTTATCGATTTTACTGATTGTACAGTGTTTGGAAAGAAAACATTATTTTGTTGCCATTGGTTACCCCCTTGTGCTTTGTAAGGCTACACACCTTACCCTCAAGGGTGTGGCCCTCCATTCTAACTAGTATTATCTTCTCCAGTTTAACCCAGTGATTCTCAGTTACTTCCTTTCTAGCCTGTAAAGAGGACAGATGAAATAGATTGAAAGGTGGAGCAGGTAAAATGAAGATGAGGAGGAAGGGGGAGTGGACTGAATCTTACCAGCCATTTACATGGCCGTGGACAGGTTGCTCAGCCCTCCACTCTTCTGTGGCCTTGCTTCCTTGGGTCCATCTACCCCTTTCCTTTCTGGCGTGGCACTGCACTTGTAGGTTTACCCTTACTTAGGGCATTGCAGACTTTCTACAACTTTCCCACAAAAGTGTGTGTGTGTGTGTGTGTGTGTGTGTGTGTGTGTGTGTGTGTGTGTTGGGAGAGGGGTGTATAAAAGAGAGAAGAAACAGATAGGCACAGCCACTTTTGAGATGGGAGGTGTGAAAGGTAGGAAGGATCTGGATGAACAGGTCCTTCACTTTGGAAAAATACCTTCTCTTGACAGCCTAGTAATGGCCTCCACCTCAACACATGATAAACTGTAATAGAGGTGGAGGGGTTTTATCAAAAGAAAAATCAATGAACGTTATATATTTTGTGGTGAGTATTCCCTGGTATCATGTTACACCCTTCTCTGGCTTTGTCTTCTGTTGGCATGGTCCACTGGGCGGGAGGAACTGGATTCCCTGGGCTCTGAGTTGCTGCCCCGTGTTCTCAGGCTACCATCTGGAGCGCTCCCAGCTCTCTGTGGGGAAGTCAGCCATCCTAGCTCCTCACAGTGTGTTCCCCTAATCTAGTGCTGTGATATCTACCTCCTGTGTGTATGACCCAGCTGCTCCTGAGTTCCCAGAGACTTAAGCAATTATGACGTGGGGTTGTCTGAGACCTGTATCTCCTTGGTGGATAATGATTAAACCTTCTCTGGATACTGGCTTGAACCCTGGATCAGAGGAAAGTTAGTAGCTCTACTTGCATCTACAGATGGAGTGATTGAAAATTCATTTCAAACTTTTGTGCGATGCATAATTTTCATTGGTAGAGTTGTACTTTCTTACATATCCAGAGATTTTTAAGCAATTTCCCATACACAGTACACACATAACTATACATATTGTTCTCTAATTTACCCATTGGGATGGGGTGAAAATAATCATTTTACTTAGCAAAACTTAGGGAGTGTTTATGGTTAAGGAATATCTGGGGTTTCAATGTCTACTTTTAAAATCATCAATAAAGTACATATTTGGACTGATTTTCTCTTCAACCCTGAATATGTGTTTGGCTGCATGTGTGTGGCATTTAGTGGATATTCAATGAGAGAGCTCATGATCTCATTGCTCAGTTGCTTTAATATTTGCTGACTATCACAGGCTGCCATGTTTATGACCATTATGTAGTTTTACATTATATTCATATATAGCCCTACATTATGTAAGAGACAGGGTCCAGGCAGAAAAGAGAAGGCATATTTACACTCAAATTGTGTAGTTAGATGAATGTTTAATAAAGAGAATATTTAAAATGTGTGAGCAGAGTGTAGAGACACCCAAGGCATAGCGAAGAGCTCTGAGGCTAGTAAAGGCAGGGGGCTATGGTCACGTAAAGTCTGAGGCAAGGAGACAGGGGGAATGCTTTCACAGGGGGTCTGAGACTTCACCAGCCCCGGGTGACCCACCAGCTGGGGAATAAATATTCCAGCTTCAGTCACCTCCACTCTCTAGTGGCCAAACCCAGTAGAAACAAGATCACAAGGGACACTGTCAAGACAATCCATAAAAGTCACTTTTCCAATAGGACATGGTGTAGAGAAAGATGGGAAGTGGATCCAGGGGGCCAGGACTGATCTAGCACGTGTTGCTTAATGTCAAGCTGTATTCAGTGAATGGGGAGAGGCAGGCTGCTTGCTTATTCTGTAAATGTATCTCTTAGGAATTTTCCCCAGATCTTACATTTATTCAATCACATTTTTTTTTTCAACGCTGAGTTGTTCTTAGTGATTTACAAATCAATAGGCAAAGGAAAAATGCTGCCATGATTATGGCTAATTTGCCTCTTTATCTTTGAAGGAACCAAGCATCTAAACCCAGCACTGTGGTAACTATAGGGATATGCTTGTAAACTATATCTGAAACCTTATGTTTTATTTAGAGACATATATAAAAGTCACACGAATAAATGCGCTTTTTGAAAATTAAACAATAAATCTTGAAAGCGGTTTTTAATGCAACAACACGTAGTCAAACTTCAGTCTACATGTTTGATGCCCTATGGGTCTAACAGACATGTGGTATCATTATGGAGTACTTGTCCGTAAATCATACATACTTTCATATGTAATTAAGTAAATTAAACAGCAGGTAGCATTAATTAAGTGGGAACATGTCAAAATTACTCTTTCTTGTAATGAATATTGTTGAAAATTAATTAAAAAGGAACTTACAGCTCAGTATTCAAAATATGCACTATCTCAAAGAGGTATACTTAATAGCATTTTTGTAATGCAAAGATGACAAAAATGATTAAAAACACTCCATGGGGGTGCAGTTAAGATATGAATAGTGAAAGGGATTACAGAGTCTAAAAATTATGAAGAATACTGACCTGGGGCCTTGTTATCAGTTTAAACATCTACTGATCTGCAAATGTGTGCATCCTGGGCTCAGCTTTCAGGAGACCCTGCACGGGTAGGGACAAGGAAGGGGAGTCTGAGGGTGAGGCTCCATGCACTGGACAGGCAGGCTTGGTTGTTTGCCTGTCTGTGTGTTTGTCCATATAAAACAGTGGGATCGTCTGCCATTAGCCCCAGGAGGACCCAGGAGGTGTGGAGAGGGTAATATAACAAGGACAAGGAAATTAAGCCTCCCCATGGAGCCCCTGCCAACATAGCTGCTGGAAGCCTGGCTTTCCTTCCTGACCTTGGCTGAGTATCAAGACAGGGGACAAGGGCAACCGCCATTCTACTCTGCTTCTATGAGTTTGACTATTTTAGATTCCTCATATGAGTGGCATCATGTAATATTGGCCCTTCTGTGCCTGGTTTATTTCACTTAGCATAAGGTCCTTCAGATACATCTGAGGAGGGAAATGGGATGAGATTAGTCAAAGGGTACAAAGTTTCCGTTATGCGAGATGAATGAATCCTAGAGATGTACTGTACAACACAGTGCCTATAGTTAATAATACTATATTGTATATCTAATATTTTGCAAAGAGGATAGATAGTATATTGTGTTCTTATCACAAAAAATAACACAATGGGAGATGATAGATATTTTTATGGCATAGATTGTGGTGGTGGTTTCACAGGTATATACTTATCTTCAAACTCATCCAGTTGTATATATTAAACATGTACAGCTTCTTGCGTGTCAATCATGCAGTATAATAGTTATTAGAGGGAAAAGGGGGTGGGGAGGATGAAGAGGGTAACAGAAAGAGACTAGACTCTGAGTGGTGAGCAGATATTCTATAATACTGGCATTGTATTATAGAATTGTATACCTGGAACATACAATGTTATTAACCAGTGCTATTTCAATAAACTTAATTAAATAAACATTTAAAAAAGGAACAAGGGGCTGCAGGCTGAGAACCAGTGCTCCTTGCTGCAGACCCGCGGTGGCTAAGTCACTCAGCTCTCACCTTTAGGGTGGTTTTGCTACTGCCACTGCTCCCCTGACCTTGGGCCTGGTCAGAGCCCCAGTAGGGGCAGTAATGTGATGCTGTGATACTTTGGTCACTCTGGTCCCCTTTGCTCTTTCTTCAGAAGTGCCAAGGCTCTGGGATGGTGCAGAGGGAGGAGTTGAACTCAGAGTTGCCCGGCAGTGACCAATCACTGGATGTGGGCTGTCTGAGTGAGGTGACTCTTTTAGGCTTAGGGCAAGTCCTAAAGATGGAAAGGTATCTCCTTTAACTGGGAGAATGGGATGAATGCCTCGGCCTGAAGCAGGGTCACCTGGGTGGAACACCACAGCATC